GAAGTGTGCATCTTGCAGCACATCTTTATTTGCTTTTAAGCTCACAAACCAACATTTTGATGCTGAACATGAGAGGCACTCTCAAACTTCTAACTGATCATTTTTTAGATGCTGTGCAAGTATTTCTCTATTCAGTTGGTACTGTGAAACAGCCTCATACTGATGATGTTGTAATCTTGATGTATCATCGGAGCGAATCGCTGCAGCCTGTATAAAGGTGTGCGTTCTCAGAGCGTGCATCTATTCATGTGCACAAGCGCCAGGCTCTTTGGAGCGCCACACAACAGTGAGAAATTACCACCAGCTGGCCCCGGCCACCAGCCAAATGATGACAATCATTTTGAAAAGAACAAACACTTTTAAATGTGAAGATATTTACACACAACTGTGGCCTGTAGATTAACAGTTCAGTGCATTTCAAATACATTCAAAGTCAAATGGTACTGAGTGACACCACGTCTTTGAAAGCATTATAGAGAAAGGAGGATGATTTTCTTCAATAAGAATCAGAAGTTGTACATACAAATATTCATGTTTGCTGTCCATGAGTCTAAATACCCCCAAAATATATCTGTAAATCTTTTTTTTTTTCATTAAAATGCAAAAAATATATATATATTTTTTATTTATTTTGTTTGGTTTTTTTAAACAAAAAACAACTTTGGAATTTAGTGTAAAAAACCCAGAGGGCATGACTCATCCACTGAGCCTCAGGTTTCACTCTCTGATGTGGGCCCATATACACAAACAGTCTCCACTGACCTGTTGAAGTTCAGCAGACTCTGCCAGCGCTGGGACTTGAAGTTCTTGATGTTCTGGGCCTCATCGAGGATCAGATAGCGCCAAGACTTTCGCCTGAAGGCCTGGTGATCCTGCAGCACCAGCTTGTAAGAAGTGATGCAAACGTGGAAAGCATTTGGCTTTGTCCAGCCCTAAGAAGAGAAAGTGTAACAGAGTGGCTTATTATTTTCCAGCACTCAGTTTTTCACTGTATACAGTATCTGTCCAACATGTCAGCAATTGCTGGAAATTAGGAATGCGTCAGTGCGAGACAGGAATCATAACTGTATAAAGTTATGGAGCTGAAAATACCAGAAGACCCCAGTGTATGATGTCAGGTTTAACACTTGTTGGGAAGCTTTTAGTTCTTTATTTTAAGTTAGCATAACCAGTTGTCATAAACTTGATTAATACAATCTTTGTGTCGCTCTGGCAGGAGGTGCACAGACTCTAAATGACAACAATATGCAGTAACGTCTCTCGTGTTGCAGTTACGGGTGACGTATTGGCATCAACACTGTAACCAGTAAGCATTTCAACTTGTGCCTCGCTGTAGTCTACCCCTAAATATAGGCAAATATAAATAAATACCCCAGTCTTAGTGCTAAAAAGGAAAAGGAAGAAGTGTGAACAAGAAACTAATTGACAAACTGCTGCAGTATCTGCACTCCTGAAATTTAAACAATCACTGAAACATTTGTGTTGTGGCTTGTATCAAAAATGAAGACAAACTGTTGAAGCTGAACTAAAGAATGCGAATAAATTAGGTGTATAAGGTAAACAGTCTTTTATTTTTAGTTTATTTATCCCATACCCCCACGCATCATCTTAACCACTTATCAAACTTGGGGACCTAAACCTGCTGCAGTAGGTCAGCAGTCTATGACAGGACATTTATGCTTACATCCTCATCTACGACCAATTTAGAATCAACAATCAACAATTAGCATGTCTGTCTTTGGATTTTAGGAGGGCCATGTTACTAATGGTCCCACCCTGGATTATTTTACTAATTAAAACCACTCCAGTAAATTTAGATTATTTGACATTTTAATTTATTACATTTTGTTTTTTAAAGTTAGGAATCCCAGAATCTTCTGTTGGATTTCCTCATTAAACTCCTTATTGGATTCTAGTTAGATTTTGGTTGATTTAGAAATTTACTTTATTGCGCTAGGTCAGGGGTAGGCAACTCCAGGCCTCAAAGGCAGGTGTCCTGCAGGTTTTAGATGTGTCCTTGATCCAACACAGCTGATTCAAATGGCTAAATGACCTCCTCAACTTGTCTTGAAGTTCTCCAGAGGCCTGGTAATGAACTAATCATTTGATTCAGGTCTGTTGACACAGGGTGAGATCTAAAACCTGCAGGACACTGGCACTCGAGGTTTGGAGTTGCCTACCCCTGCGCTAGGTTGTTTTTCATGCTTTGGCTGCTCTGAAACCTGACTGAGACAAGCACAATGTTGTCTTTCACATAAAAGAGCGATTGCCGAATCTCTTTCTCACAAAGAGAAACCCAGCTTATTAATTTAAGACTGGTATCAGATCAGTGCTTGTATCAGCAGAAACCCCAGATAGCCAAACTTAAAAAAAATTATATATATATATTATATTTTTATAATTTTTTTTTTTTTAAATATATATTTTAAATATATATAAGCTGGATTAGTGCCTGTTTTCCTGGGATACACACTAATCTACATCACTGTAAATAAGCCACAGTCAAAATTAAGACAGCAGCATGTAAGGAGAAACAAAATGATTAAGTCAAGCAGCAGGGAAACTAAAAACAAACAATTGATAAATGAGACGACTCAGCAGATAAGTAACGCAGGGAGTTAAAGACTGACAAGAACAATCTGCAGTATATCACAGATGACAGCGGTAAAGCCAGGAGGGACAGACTAAAAGTAAATGAGAGCAGACAAAGCAGCACATCACACTCATCTAACAAAGGAAAATGAGCCGCCTGCAGAACCAGCAAACTGAGTACCTGTCTCTTTAACTTTCTCTCCTTTTGACTGCCAAAATACGTAAGGATTTTAAACCCTGGACACCAGCGCTTCAGCTCCATCTCCCAGTTTAACATTACGCTGGTGGGGACGATGATGAGGTGAGGGCCCCAGTTACCTAATAACACCAAATGAAACAGGACAGTGTATTAATCACAAATAACACTCCAACAACCAAAGTTTTGTAACTCGGTACATATAAGAAGCTGCAGTCTGTTACCTTTCTCACAGGCGAGGTGAGCCAGCAGAGCAATAGTCTGGATCGTCTTGCCGAGGCCCATCTCATCAGCCAAAATGCCGTTTAGCTTTTTCTCATACATGGTGACCAACCAGTCGAGTCCGATGTGCTGGTACTCTCGTAATGTGCCATGAAGCAGAAATGGAATGGGGGTCTTGACCTGAAGTTGTAGAGAAAGTTGAAACAACTGTGACCCAGATCTGCAGACGAGTTTAATCTACACTTTTCCTCCATCTGATAAAATGACTAAAATATACATTTTTAATATTTAAAGACTGACCTTTGTGGTCGCTAAAGTGTAGCCTTTGGGCTGCAGGCTCTCCGCAGTAGCAGCAATGTGACTGATCTCCTTCTTTGGCCGCGAGCCAGAGGAAGACGGGCTGCTGTCTCCCTCCTTCAGCAAAACCTCCATCCCTTCATCTCCACACTCCTCTTCGTCTTCCTCCTCACTCTCTTCCTCATCCTTCTCGCTCTCCTCATCTTCAGCACTGTCGCCTGGTGAATCTGAGAGGAGAACATTTGAAATGATTAATGAATTAATAATAAATTAAAGCAGCAAAACAAACTTGAAACAGACGTAAGAAGGAAAACATTTTCTGAAAGCTTCCGCTCAGAGTGGAGGGAGATAAACAGCTTATTTTGGGTCTTTATGAGCAGTTTAATACCTGAGGAAGAAGTGTTACTTTCCACATCACTCTCATCTTCTTCAGTCTCCACCTCCTCATCCCCAGACACCTCCGAATCAGAGCTTGCTTTAGAGCCAGAAGCAGACGGGACCTCAAAGTCTGAGGCATACGCTCCTTTGTACTTCTCCAGCAACTCCTCCATGCTCATATCGCCTGGAAGGGAAGCAGAGACACGTCAAGGATCCGGTCTGCAGCCTCTTATTTTAGACCAGGGAGCAGCTAGTAATGAATGAAATTTCATTCATATGTACAGAATTTTAAAAAAGGCAGAAAGAGAGCAGCAATGCAGAGGTGTCATCAAGCTTGCTTTCCTCTTTAAAAAGACAGAAAGCTCTTCAAACACTTCATAAAATCTCAGGTCAATGCAATGAATTAGCATCACTTCCAGTAGAAAATAAAGCCCTCACCCTCTTTGGCTAAATCATCGAGTTCCTCTGCATGATCTACATTTCCTTCCACCTTCTCCTGAGCTGCTATCGTGTCCTCCTCATCCTCAGCTGTGAACACAAAGGAAGAAAACCAAAATCCTTGACAATTAAAAATGAACTTGGATAAACAAAAAATGAGCAGAAAAAAAATCCAGTAAAAGGTCTCATTCTGTTTTTATGGAGGTTATATTGGGAGCAATCTCACCATCTTCTTCGTTGGCAGTGAATTCCCCGTCTTCTTCCTCCCCCGCCTCTGATGAAGACGTTTCATCAGAGCATTCTTCGTCCGAGCCCTGGTCCTGCGTAACACCGTGATTCAGTGATACATGAAATCTGTGGTCAGTATTAAAAACATGTGCTTTTCTTCAGCTTTTGCACATTATCAGCCAACCTCGTTTTAACAGAGGTGTCAGCGTGTTTACTCAGGTATAATCATCCCATAATTAGAAGAAATAATAAAGCTCAATAAGTCCTCAGTGAGATGACAGCATCTGGAATTAATTTGAAGTGAAAATGAAGATGAATAATTATACAACACATTACTGTTAAATCAAATGCACAGCTACAGCTCAGCAGCTTGTTTATGTGGGTGATAATGTCAGTGTTTACCAACTGTTACGAATCTTTCTTAAATGAATTCAATCATTTAATTCACGTTTCCTTTCTGAAAATACTGAACTGGCCAAGCAGTTTGTGACACGTAAGTGACCAATATGATCAGCTGCTCTCCTGCAAATATTCCAAGTCCAAAGTCTCAGACTGCAGCAGGTAACCGTAGTCCTCCACCTGCTGCAGGTACTCAGCGGAGCAAGAGGAAGACTACTGCTGGCAGCTGTAGTCCAAGACAGTGGAGTTTAAGGATGTCCGGAAAAACGGGACAGGAACTTTCAAAATAAGACAGAGGAGGCTTTCCACCTGCATTAATCACCCACGTGAGAAACACTGAATCTTAACTGTTACCTTTTTTCCTTATTTAATGACTCTTTAGATCCAACTATGAGATGCAGCTCAAAATAAAAAAGTGGCAGGTCGTTAAACAACAGCAGAAACTCAGGTGCTATACCTTGACTCACCTCACTTTTTACGTGGTCTATAATTTCAGCTGTTTGTGGAGGAAAAGTTTCCAAACTGCCTGAATTTGTACCAACACTGAATCAAATTAACTTGGAGTATGTTTAAGATTCAGTGTCATTTTTACATAAAGAGAAGATCATCATAGCAGATCATTATTCTCTGTCCATCATTAGCTGCTCACAAGTTTGCTTGGAAACCATGGAAACTTCTTAAAACGTTTGTCTTTTTCAAATCAGTCTAGTTGTTTAGTAGTTGTCTGTATATCCACTAACAGATTAAAAACCGGAACTACCAATAGCTCATTTTTACAAGTAGAGATGGCACGATACCACTTTATGTCCGATGCCGATATCATACATTTGGATATCTGCCGATACCGATATGAATCTGATATAGTGTATTTTGTAATCAATAAAACAGTTTTTTATAAATATCTTGCTACATTTTGTATAAGTTCATACTCAAGTTTTAAAAAACAAAACACTAAAGCTATTCTGTTATACTTGTATGCAAAAACTACACTGCACCCAAAATATTTTATAGTTCAGCAAAACTGATCAATCTAATAAACTTAAACCTGCACCATCATCCCTATTCTGGTATCTTAAAGAGCACTTAGCAGAAATATTAAACAACCTAACTAATAGGGTTGCCAACTCCCAGCAAAAATATTAGGGAACCACCCCCCACCTCACAATGCTTAATCAACTTTAATTTAATGCACGTGTAAAAACAAATGCACAGAAATCCATTATTTTTCTACAATAATTATATAGATCCAACATCTTTCTTCTACAGAATTGCAGACTGCACAGATGGTACCTTCCCAAAGGAAAAAGTACTATAGCTTACTAGGGTGTATATTAGACTTAATAGTTACTATATACAATAATGGATTTCTATACATTTAATCAGATGACCACTATGGTTGTAAGATTCAGATAATTGTTTATTAAAAGTTAGTCATTTTAAATGAAATAACAAACAAAAGTATTTCTTTGTTTCCCCCTCTTCCTGTTAATGCCCTACCTGGCCCCCTAGCAAAACTTTGCTAGATCCGCCCCTGCACAGTTACCAGCTGTCAGCTACGTAGAAAAGGATCCTGGTGTTATTTGTCTCTCAGAAACAGTTACAGTTCTCAGTAACTTCCCTTCGACTCATTCACATAAAAGGTAATCCTGTTTGTCCATCACTGTTCAGCTGATGATTCAGTAAGAACATCTCCTGGATTCATTTTCATGTTTCCCTCTCACCACATATCCAAATGGTGGGCGATAAACAAACAAGAGAGACGGGACTTGCGACAGAAAAGCCAACCAGCTGATCATTGATCAGTTTCATGATTGAAGTAGCAACAGGGGAGGGAGGGGGAGAGAATGAGAGAAGAAGAGGCAGCTGTGCGGCAAAGACAGAATAACTCCAGCTTTGTGCCTCCCCCCCCATCATTGTAGCTGAAGTAATGGACAAATCGCTTCGTTTTCGCCTCAATATGGAACTCCAATGGCCAGTCCAGCTGTGGCTCAGTATATCAGTTGTTAAGTTTAACGTGGAAATACTATGCAAACATTCAGAGATGCACTTACACACTTGCTTTACTTCTCTGGGATAGTTTTCTCTGAGATGAAATGCCGCGGTTTGGAAGCATGTAGCGAGGCTCCAAATGCTCCACCAGACCACCGACAGGTCTCGCAGACAACAGCCGCCCTATCACGTGACACATACTGCTACGATGCACTGAGCTGGGTTACGCCAAGTAGCGCGTTTTTTTCTGAGGTGATTTTGTGATACTTCGGATCGGATCACATTTTTTTATTTCTCTCCGATATCCGATCCAGTAATTTAGGTCAATATCGGATCGGTCCATCTCTAATACAAAGTAGCTCAAGTTGTAGGCTGTTCAACTTTTCAGATATAAATATTTAAACCACAAATTTAAATAACCAAGTTAAACTGAGGACATCTGTGAAGTTGGTCTGTTTCTGGATGGTTGCAGTACTTTTGTTCTTTTCAGAAAACAATCCAATCACTGCCCTCTGGCTTGTGGACCTACCTGAGGCAGATTGAGGCTGCTGAGCAGCTGGTCCAGTGGCAGCATGCCCTCTTCCTTCAGCAGTTCAATCTCCCTTCGGTGGCTCTCAGCATCATTGCCCTCCTGCTGCTCCTCCACCTCTATGGTCTCTTCATCATCCTCCTCTTCACAGGGAGGTTCAAAGTCTCTGTCTGCATGAAAACAAAAGGGTTTGGTATTGAAAAAGACTTTATTCTGAAGAACAGTTAGACAAACTGCAAAGTCAAAAAGAGAAAAAAAAAAAAACACCATCTCAAACATACACACTGAAAAAAACTGAATTTCCTCTCATATACGCTTAAATATACTTTTTAAAAGAAGTTTTTATGGATTGTTTGCATTTTACAGATGGTCTGTGAGGATAGTTGATGAATGGGAACCATGCAGTCCAAGCATTTTGGCCACTGAAACAAGGATTTTACTTTTTTTAAACCCTCAAGCGAATATATTTCATACAGGAATACTTGTTTTCAGTGGCTTTATTTGTGTATCATACCCACTTATACAGTTTCCTCTGGTTTGAAGCTTCTGCAGCAGTAAATATTGCTACTCTCAGCCTGTTAGTCATGCAAAACATCACAACAGATGTTTCACTAATCTAAATACAAGTCTGCAGAAAATACTTTCAGTATAATAAATCCAAAAAAACAGAAGTTTGATTTAGACTAAATTTGAACAGAAGCATAAACGTGTCAAATGGTTAAAATAAAGTAAAATAAAATAATATGCAGCCATTTTAACTTTTTTTTTTTAAACATAAAAATGATTGACAGCATTTTATATACATTAGATGTCTTTCAGATTATCTGTCACAGATAAAAGAAACAGCTAAAGTATGTATGATAAGCACACACTGTTTGAAATATAACATGTTATTTTAGTTTCTAGAATAGGCGGATGTAAATTTCTTTCTTAACTAAAGACTTATTGGTTTGTGTCTCCTATTTTGATTTTAACACACAAAAGCCACAGCTGGAGCTACTGCAAGGCTTCAGCTACAGGCAGAAGGAAAATTTAAGTTTTGGTCTCAGTGCTGTGAGCTTCTTCACAGCTAAGCAGACTGTGTTCGCACTTTAGCACCAAGAAACCCGCATTTGGTAATGAAATGAAGGTGGGATCAGAACCACTGCTACGTCTGTTCCTCCTCTGACTGAAACACAGCTTCAGATTAAGCTGCTCACCTCAGTCCTTCAGGAATAAGCTGCCAACGGTAATACTGGCGGCAGACAAGTCTGACAGGTTTGATGGGTCTCAAGTCTGACGGTTGCCAAAGAGCATTAGGTACAGCGCTCTGGATGTGGTTCACCCCCCCCCAAAAAAATAAAAATGTGTAACTGCTGTGACAAATATTTGACTTCTCATCATGTTAAACCAAGCCGAGGTGCATCAGTCAGAGAGGGCTCGCAGAAAATGCGGTTTAATCTTACAAAGATGTAGCGACCTTGACGGTGAAGAACGCTTTTTGTTCCTATGAAACAGTTTACCTCTGAACGCTTGAGAAGATTCGCTCACTGGTGTGTAGCTATGACAACGTCCCAGTCTGAACCAGTGAATCAGCTCTAAAAGCTGTCTGCGACATGGTGGCAGTGAGCACTAACGATAAGAAGAAGGTTTTCTTTAAAGGGAAAACTTCTCACCATCCTCCTCGACAGGATTAGGCAGGGATTTCTGTGGAGACACGACGGTCTCAGCAGGCCTGATGGGTGCCAGGGACTTGCTCAGGAGGTCCGAGTATTTCTCCGTCTGGCCAACAATGAAGTCCAGCTGAAGGTCCAACGCCTTCTTCCGCTTCTCCTCTAGCCTGGACTGCTGCTTGTACTGTACCACCTTCAGGTTCAACAAATAAGACAGCGTGTGAGAACAGCTGGGAATTTCACATGATTTTAAAAAAGTAAACAAAAAAGCAAACAGAAAAACCCCACATAAGCAGAAAAGTTGCGATGCTGGGTAAAACGGCATAAAATCTCAAATGGGTCTCATATTTTAATTGAGTTTACAACATAAAAGTTCAATTCAAGGTTTCAAGCTGCATGTTTTAACATCAAGAAGAGCCGTGTAGTCGGATTACTCTGGGTGAAATTCAGCCGAAATTCTTGATGACTTAGATTTACATACTGTATTTAGTTCAAAAATAACAACATTTTTAAAAAAAGGGCTATTATGAGCTCTGTGGGGGTCTTTTTGTTTGTTTGTTTTAAAAAAACAAACAAACAAACTATTAGACCATTAAAATAATGTCAGCAACACACATTAAAGTTTTTTTGTGTATGTTTCTTTAAATTAGAAAAACAACACTGGGGAAAAATGCAATACTAAAAACACGCACTAGATCAGTTCATAACTAACAAGGCTGAACATCCCAGAAAAAGATGGAAGATTCACATGAGTTTATTCCAAGTGTTTGCAAACTACGTCTTACTTTACAAAAAGATGCATCTACTATAAATTAAAGCTTTGCTTATTTTAGCAAAAAAATACCAAACCACATTCTGCATTTTTACAACGACAACAGCTCAGCAGGAAAAAGGATCCAGGTGCTGAACTGACCCAAGCGCACCAGTGAAAATATTAAGCTTGTTCTGAACCAAAGAAAATCATGAGATAGCGAGCATAGATTAGAAAACCCGTTGGTTTTCCCCTACTGAGGTAATCGATATCCTCCAAAGGTTCCCAGAGTGTTGTTAAAAGAAGAGCCCAATATAAACTAATCACTTTGTGAGCCATTTTCTATCGTATATGTTTGTTCTGAAGTTTTATTTTCAGTTTCAGCCAGCTTCCAGAGCGTTTAGCTCGTATGAAAAGGTTCACTTTCAGTTTAATTTAAATAATTTTGTTGTTTTGTTTTTTTAAATGTGTGTCCAAACTGTCCAGTGTTTTTCTTTTTTATTATTTACACTTATTCTTCATTTTATTACTAAGTTAAGTTACTGTGTTGCGTCGTGTCGTGTCGGATGTAGTGCCAACGTTTTATTGGAGACACAGATGAGCGTTTTGCAATTTAGTATAATGTGTGAAAGTTTAAATTTCTTCAGTACTGAAAAACAGAAATTAGGCTGTCTTGTCAGGGGCCATTTTTTTTGGAGGGGGGCAGCCGACAGCACTGTACACAACGGTAGCTGGGTGTGTAGCAGGCAAACAAAACATACCAAAAATAGAGGTGTTTGATGGTAAATTGGTGTCAAAGCACGCTGAGAGAGAGCTGTGCAGGAGGTGCAATTTTATTGTGGTGGAAGCAAAACAGCAAAAGTAAGAAGGAATTTATTCATTATGATGTTTTTCAAAGGTGTAGTTTTGGTCTTTTGCTGCTGGTTCAGTAAATTTTGGTAGGAGAGTGACGAAACCTGCAGTTTCAGAATCTGTGCGCCACAGCCTCCTGATCCCCACCTCGTTTCAGTTTTTATTCAGCTACAGCCTTGAACATTACACATTACACTGCCACGTTTTTGGAAGCAGGACTGCGCTTCATGTGAAAAGTGGATGTTATTTCTGTCATAAACCCGAACAAACACGGGAGCTGAACAGAGAAGCAGAATGTTCTGTTTGCTTGGTTTCAGGGAATCATCTGTACCTTCTCTACGCTGCTCCAAAAAGCCCGGACTTCCTTTGCGATAGAAGAGGCGACTCGTCTGATTTTAGCATGCTCGTCCCGCTTTGCTTTTTCTTCCTTTTGCCTCAGCTCCTCATGGTGCCGCATCACCATCCGCACCACCTAACAACAAATCAACAGAACGCATTTAGAACATATACAACATCCACCATCAAAAATACAGGAGCGCACTTTTCACCCTTGTTCTTAGCATCATGAATGTGTGAAACTTCAAGCAAACCTCTGTGATGATTTGCATGTCCTACCTTTCTGGCCACGCCTCTCTTCCACCGCCTCTCTTGAGCAAAGTCAGCCGAGAGCCACTGCATCTCCTCACACAGGTAATCCCAGTGAACTTTTGGCCGCGGTGGCTCCGTCAGGCGGGTGAGTCGCTTCATTGACCAGAAGCCCTCTCGCTTCAGTGCCTGTGTTCGATGCTCGATGTCAGCTTCCTGCAGCACAAAGTGAAGAACAAAAAGTCAGTAAAGTCCTGGCTCTGAAACAGTAAGGTGGGGGTTAGCTGATTCAGAAATGCCAAATACTGATCTCCTGCTACACTGCATCTTCAAAGGTGCTTTCAAACCGGAGGAACCTTTTCTTAGTTCTTTCGACTCTTAGAGGCGGTCCCCACTTTTGATGTAGGCTCACTTGGTAGAAATGGGTCTATCAAAGCTTTGAGCACCCCATTTTCAGGTCTTTTTAGATACTAGTGCCATATCTTGGCATTATAAGGGAAATAGAAAGATTATATGGAAAGAGAGCTGAACAAAAGGCAGTTTGTTTATGACTTTTACCTTATAGGATTTCACTTAATGGCATCAATTTGTGAAGATTATCTTCACAAATTGACCAAAACATTTTTTTAACAAAGTTTTATGCAATAACACCAAAACAACCTTGAAACAAAAACAGAAAAGAAATCCCACTTGGTGTGTGTAGAGGGAACCATGGTGGTGCCAGCCTCCGGGTTGGCATTTAAAAAAAATAAATAAAGGTTCTGGATTAATTACTTCCTAATTATCTGTCTCAGTAACAAAAAACCCCAAAACAAAATAGTGTGACACTCTGGTGAACGGCTCTCATTGATCGGAGAAAATAATTGTTTAATTTTAAAAGAGCTGCACCTGTGCAACATTTTCGATAACAATATCCCTCCCTAGCACTCAAACTGCAGCAGAGAAGCTGTTCCACACACCTCACACAGTCACAAGGCTGCAAGGTGTTCCATCTTTTTTCTCCTGCTTTTAAATCCACACACTTTGTTGCCTTGTCCTGTTTGTCATATAGTGACCTTCATCAGCAGAGCTTCACTTGCTTCACAAAAAGGAGGAGCTGATTGAGACGTTTCTTCTTAAAAACCGTGATGTTCCCAAAAGGTAACGCAAGTAAACAGTACAAAGGACAGAGCTCTTTATGTTTAACACTTGAACACAACAGTTTTTAAAGGTTGTTCACAGCAGAGCGCTCCAGCATAATCATGAAAAGTATACCATCAAAGTCAAAAGCATGTCAGGGGAGTTTTTAAAAAGTGCTGCATTTCTCCTGAGCTTTTCTTAAATTACTCAAAGCAGACATAAAATAACAATTAACTACTTAACTGCCCGACAGCTAAATAGGGAAATGGATCAAAAGCTGTGTCTATTGACAAAACTGAAATGTCTTTTTTAGTAAAAAAGGTCCAATTTTCTCTCCTTTAAGAATCCAGAAGATTAAAAAAAAAATGCATGTTGTGCCATTCAAAGTGATTTGTTTTGATTATTTACATTTCAGACTCCTGGAGCAGCCTGTTAAAAGGCATCGGACATGAGGCAAATAATCTTCGGATGTGCAA